CTGGATCAGATCAGAGGTCTGCACCCAGAACCCAGCAGACAGCTGTCTCCTCTGAAGGCCCTGACAGAGCAGCTGAAGAGGGGCAGCTCGGGAAGAACCGGCCCTGCTTCGCCCGGTCCGCCTGCCGCCGACCCAGCTGGTTCACTGAGTCCGGAGCTCGCTGATCGAGTTGATCTGGTCTTGAAGGAGCTGCAGAGTCTGAACCGGAAGATCGACTCAAACCTGCAGCTTCTGCGACCATACGTCACTTTCCTCCGGACGGCACAGCAGGTCAGAGTCTCTTCTGGGGTCCAAAGACCACTGGATCCAGATCTCTTTTCAGCTGATTTACCAACTATCAAATATCCTTCACCCAGTACCGATGTGCATTACTGTTATCTATATAACTAACGGGTTGGATTCACCAACAGTAACAGGTGTGTTTAACAAGAAGTAAAATCTAACAATTTGCACACAAACCATCTTTTAGTTTGTGTAAATAATCCAACAGTACTCTAAAAAATAACCTAAGCTATTAATCCATGGTTTTCTACCCGTGTGTACTGGAACAAAATCCATTATTGTGTTGGTTCTGTATTGACCCAAACTGATCAGTTCTGACTCATTATGCAGTGTATTTATTGGCAACCACATCGGGATGCAGCAGTGGACATCAGACGTAGATCAGCTGATAAAATCTACAGTGAAAAAATAATACAAACATTCAAAATTACAATATTATTATTATACAATATTAACAGCAAACTGTCATCATGTTTTTTTATACACATTTTAAAGTATCACATTACAAATGTATCTTGTGTCTTTGAGTAAAAACTAACTTTTAACCGTTGCTTGAGGAGGTTTTTGCCGTTTTGGTTGGCGCCCTCTTCTTCTGGTTTTCTGACTTGAGAACTGGCGCCACCTATCGCTTATCTTTATCCAACTCATATTTTTTTTTCTTTTTTTTTTTTTTTTTTTATAATCACTGGCTTTGCCAGAACCAGCTATTTTGTATTTTAACCAGGGCTGCATAATTTTGTTTTTCTCTGCGCCCCCTTGGGTAATTCTCAAACCTTGGGCGCTTTGGAACTTGGGCCTGGGTGTTACCCAATAGCCGGTTCAGTAGCCGGTGGACGATCGGTGTTCCTGGTTCCCAGGGGTGGGAGCGGGAGGTGATGGAAGATGTAAGAGGATCATTACAAAATCGCCAGAGGAAGAGGGAGAAGCAGAAGGAGGGGAAGCTGCGTAGGGACACCACCGCTCAAGAAGGCCAGGACGGGACGGCTGCGGCAGGCGAAACTCTGACAGAGGTTCCTCGCCTGGGGCCAGGAAACTGCGGAACCATACGTCATTTACTGTTGTCCCACGCGTAACAAGGCTGTCGGAATCAGAATGAAATTGGTTTTGATGAGATTTAATCACATAAATGCCTTGAAAATGATGTGTCTGTATGTGTGTTTTTGTGTGTGTGTGTGTGTGTGTGTGTGTGTGTCAGGTGTCGGGAGCAGGGTTAAACCGGCAGTCTGTGGTGTCTGTGGTGCAGCAGACGATGGAGCGACTCAGCACAACCAAACAGGAAGTGAACGAGCTGCAGGGTCAGCAGCAAATCCAGATCCAGCAGCAGCAGGAGTACTGCAGGAAATCCCAGGAGAGACTGCTCAAGGTACCAAGCACACTGCGCCAGAGTAACTGAGGGCAGTCTAATCTATTACGTATGAAATACTTTATACTGTAAAGTAACTCGTAACTCAAATAACTGTTGTGAGGTATATTTAAGTAAATCAGTTGTATCAAGTAATGGGTGCAAGTAATGAAGTACAGTACTTAAATATAATATGATGAATGTATTCAGTTACTTTCCACTACTGGGACGCTGTATGTTTTCAGACCCTGCAGGACTTGAATTGTGTCTCTGAGCTGCTGGACTCCTGCACTCTGATGGATCTGGGTTCGGACCTACAGACCTCCAGGCTCCTGGAGCACTTCAGCCAGGCCAGACCACATTTTAGTGTGAGTGACTTTGAACTGCTGGGACTTCTTTACAATGAGGACTGTAGGGACTCTGAAATCTAGCTGGAGCTGTCATGGGACTACTCTGTGACTACAGACTCTTAGACTGTAAGGACTGTTAAACCTGCTGGGACCTTTTAGAAATGTTGGATGGCTGGGAATTGTTTTTCTGTGGGGACTGTAGCGTACACTACCACACGGTTGCTGGTAGTATAATCACATCTGTCCCAAGAGTCCCAATGGACCAGAACCTTTACCGTTGGGACTCCTGGGACAGCTGTGATTGTTGCACTGTGGTTACCGCTAGAACCATTGGGACTAAATGATCAGACACACTCTCTTCCTTTATTCAGCAACTAGACACTGAGGTGGAGCACTTGGAGAAGAGCTGGGAGACTCTGAGAGGAGTCCAGGACAGACTGGAGGTGGAGGAGTTGAAGGGAAGACCAGTGACGGAGGAGGATCTGGCAGAGCTGCTGAAGCTCCAGAAGAGGGTGAAGAACAAGATCCAACAAAGCGAATCGATCCTGGACCTGAGCAGCAGCTTCCACCTCACATCCAAACAGGTCAGTGGAGCCGGGAGGAAGTTGTTGTTGTTGCTGTTGTTGTTGTTGTTGTTGTGGAAACACCTGGAATTTACCAAAAATCCTGGAAATATTTTATGTTGTCCTGTAAAATCTTAATGGTGTTTCAGCCCCTCGCTCAGATCGCCTTCGTAAACCTGGCTGCATATTTAGTTTGAAACTCAACTGTTGGTAGGATGAGCTGTCCACCATGAAACTTCAAAGCCAATCGTGTTCTGGTTGCAGCTTTATGTTGTTTACTGAATAACTTTTGAGTTTGGTTCATCCGGATGAAACAAGACATCATCATTTTGATAAATTTGATCAGAATCAACAGATTAATTTACAGTGTGAATCCCTTTTATATCCGTAATGAGGAATTTACTGTGTGCTACTGTCTGTATATTGTTTGTTCTTCATGTCGGCTTTAAGAATCCAGAAGTTACCAGTTAAATCTGCTGACTTTGTAAAAATGTGTTGCATAAATATACAATAACAGAATTAATATTAATTTTAGTGTTGTCTGCTTTGTGTCCAGCTGGAGGCGCTGCTCCAGTCGGACCTCACAAGCCCTTCGACTGGTTCAACTGGTTCGACTGGTTTATGTGGATCCAGTGAGGCTGAGCTGAGTCGGCACAGAGAGGAACAGCAGATGATCCAGAGTCTGTTTAAAACGGCTGCAACACTGAAGACCGACATCTGCACCGCCGTCAGCCACAGTGTATGAGCACACACACACATTCACACACATTTTAAAATAAATAACAGCCTCCATGTTAACAAACACTAAAATACTACTCTAACATTGATCAGTATTAATCTAATAACGTCACATATAATCACATATCAGACAGACAACTGACTATACTGCTCTACTTTTACTTGTTTGTATATATGTAATATTATTTTAAATGCAGGACTTTTATTTGTAATGCAGTATTTTACATTGTTGTATTACTCACTGTACAGTCTCAGTTTCATACTGACTCCTCTATGTGACCTACATTAACCATCAGAGAGAGGATTGTAGGTAATGGATGTGAATACTGTCTGCCACTGTCAGGGTTGGACGTGTTTCAGAGTGGAGCAGCTGGAGGCTCGTCTCGTCTCTCTGGACTCTCTCTGCGTCTCGTGGCTGAATGAAGCAGCTCGACGTGAGGAGAAGCTCCGCAGAGAGCAGCTCACCTGTCGACTCAACGGTGACATCAACCAGGTGAGGTAGCAGGTTCAAGCTACAGCCATTAGCTGAGAACTGTGGAAGGTTCTCAGAGTGTGGTTGTTTAGCTTCTCTCACTGCCTTGTTAAAGCTGTGTTTATTATAAAAAGTGGATTTATCTTCACTCTCTCTTCTCAACCTGTCTGCTGTGAGCTGCGGACCCAGAGATCGATGATACTACTTCATATTTTTACAGAGAGCAGACAGAAAAGGAGGTTGTTGGAGAAAAGTAAGAGAGGTAGCTGGAAAATATGTGTCTGTTACTTGATTCCAGCTGTTAGCAGAGTCCTGATCAACCAAACTCCATTCAGAAAACAAGCATTTTAAAAGCTGTGCACAGACCCGACTATGTACATATATGTATTGTTTTGATTTGGTACCTGGGCAGGTAAGTACTGACAATGAGCTCTGTTGTTATTCACCAATACGACCAGCAGAGGGGGCTGCTGCCAGCTGTCTGTCTGTCTGTCTGTCTGTCTGTCTGTCTGACTATAAATATCCAGAATATCCACTGAACCAGCGCCAGGTTTTCACTCTGATGCCAAGCACAATCTCTGTACACTCAATTATGATCAGTTATATTACAATTTTATTATTGATTAATGAAAAAATATTTTATTTTACAGGTCATTATTTCCTAATAATTAAATACGGTGTTTTAAAGGAAAAATATATATCTATATATCCTTCTCCTTGAAGGATAGAAGTATTACATATATTATTTCTTAAGTATTTATAATCGGAAACACTGTTTCTGTTCCCCCTAAAAAAATAAACTAAATGACATACTTCCAGGAAATATAGGGAAATCGGTACCTACAAAAGATAAATGAAATGTTTTGCCATCAATGCCTAAAGTTTGTTTGACTTTTAAATGATTAATTAAAATTACATTTTTATCATTTTGGAGTAAATTCACAATCCACAGCCAATTTCAATAAAATGTTTTTATTTACTGAAAGTTTGAATTTCAGGTAGACTTGTTTCTGCAAATGTGTTGATAGTTTTTAAAATGAACTTTGTTACTAGTTGCCTCGACTTGGACATGAGTGTGATCTGAAGCAGCCGCTCGCTCGTTTTTTTTTATCAGACTCTAAATATAACTGAAGTCAGCAGGACACATTTAGATTTTATTAGAGTCCATAAAGTCTCTCAGCTCGCTGCAGGACTCGGTCTCTTTCTGCTGGTTCACTTTCTTACACTGATTTCTCTCAGAAAATTAGAAAAAGCAGAGGTGTGGCGGGTTAGAAAACACTAAAAAAGTTGCTTGATGTTTCTGGATTTTATCAGCAGCTGAGTGTCGGAGTTGTGTGAAGTGTGTTCAGCTACAGTTCATATAATGTCCACTAGATGCTGCTCTCAAATTGTATTGAGGTGAATGGAAAACTCTCAACTTCTCTCCATGAAAAAAAACTTAATCCATTTATTTATCTCTCAAGTTTACAAGAGGCACATTAAGTTAAATTGATGATATGAACTGGGTTGTTTAATATCATAACTATGTTGTGCAGAGGTCAGATGGCTGTAATGGGACTGAAATATAAGGCTGAAATATGTGTACATACTGTTAGCAATTTGTGCGCCGTGCATTAACGGTCATTTAGAGTTGACGTAGTCCGACCTCAACAGTTACTGTTTTATAGATGTTGGTGAATTATCAACCCAAACATGTTGGCGCCCTCTTCAGGTAAATCTCTCAAATTATAAAACTTTCAGTTCTTTGATATTTAACTGGTTTCACTGGTGTTAGTGGTTCAATCTGCTGTGTCACTGAACAGCAGAGCAGCAGCAGCTGTTGGAGGAATGACAGAGAGAGAGAGAGAGGGAGGGAGGGCAGGAGAGGGGAGACCATGAGAGGGAGAGGGGGAGTCAGCTGGACAGATCAAAAATACAGGACGACTCAGCCAACGGGTATTTCCCATCATGCACCTGGTGCTGGGTGTCACCAGCGCACTGAAACCTGCAGGAGCAGCTGGGGTGGAGAGAGAGACAAACAGAGACAAACAGAGACAAACAGACTTGTTTCTTAGAGTTTGTCACCTTTTAGATTTCTAAAAGCATCATGCAGTTTGACACTGACAATACTTTATCTTAATGATAAAATCTGACTCACTGACAGAGTGGGTAAAGTCTCCGTACCCACCACTGGGGTCGAGACCTTGTTTTTTTCCTAGGGGTACAAATAACTTTGTAATTATTGCCTAAAAACAGCTTTATTTTGATGCTTTGCTTTGCCTAGCAAGTTCAGTTTTTGGACTAAAACTCAGTAGTTTTAGTACAGTAGGTGATACAAGATTGAGGTACTCAGATGTCTGTGTAAGTTTATCTGTGAACACATAACTAGGATTAAAAATTGGCAAAGGAATTAGGGTTATGTTGTGTTTAGGGTCAGAGTTGTGCTGATTTAAGGTCCTGGCACCATTTTTGGTCCAATTCAGGCACTCTCCCGTACGACTGTAGTTGGGCCACAAGCGCATCTTGAAGCCTGGAAAAGAGCTTGAAATTTGTAGTATTCATGGCAATAAGTGAATTCTCCAGTTTCATCTCATTTTACGCCCTCCGGTCCCCTTGAAGACTTGGTGTGTGATGGCAGTGTGCACTCATAGCACTACTGCAGCGTTTCTCTAGGGGAAGCCCTCGATGACGAGATCAGTGGTGAATAATTTCCATTCGGAAGGCTTAACTGTCACTGTTCTGTAGTTCTGTAATAGGACGCAACCACTAATCCAACTCATAAACGCTCAATCAGAGGGATGAGGGGTGAGCTCCAGGGTAAAGGGAAGAAGTGAGACACAGAATGACCCTTTGGACTTGTTTGTGTCCACACTGCGTCGACTTCTGAGTCACCTGAAGGGAATATACATTTACTTCTGGAAGATGATGAGGTTTTTTCTTTCGAAAACATGACTCGTTGCTGTGGACTGGTTCTATTTGTGTTCGTTGGTGGATTGGTATTCTCACCGCAGACATTCAGGGTATTTTTGCTGCTCATTAAGGATCCTCCAGAGTCCACCAGCTGAACTCTGAAAGATATTTGAATTAGGTTTGTGTACAAAGTACCCACAGTGAAGAGGTTATTCCATGGTATTTCATGTTGTAGATATCTGAGGTACTACAGTAATTTCATTATACTTTATGGTCATCTTCCTGGTAGTTTATGGTAAGCCGAGGGGGCTTTTAGGGTATATCTTTCAGATGTTACAGGGTACCATTGGGTTCTTTGTGTTGGGTTGGCTACTTAGGTTAGGTTATCTCTACTTCCTGCCACATCCTGGTCGTTGTGGATTATTTTATTGATATACTTCCTTGTACTCTCTTAATCTTCATGGTCATCGGATGTAGTTTGTGACACTACATGGTTATCTCTTTTTGGTATTTCCTGGTACACTGTGGCCACTCACCTAGAGCTGGGGGCCGGTTGAGGTTTCTGCCTGTTTCCTTGCCACTGTAGCCAAGTGCTTGCTCATGGTGGCAACTGTTGGGTCTCTGTAAATAATTTTATAAGGAGTACGGTCTAGATCTGCTCTATTTGAAAAGTGTCGTGAGATAACTTTCTGTTATGAATTCGGGCTATACAAATAAAATTTTACTGAAATTGAAATGAATCATCAGCGTAGGTTTTGTGTTTTTAGTGCTCCAAACACTGCCTCAACCTAGGTTTCCTCCAATGGTTCAGGGATTATAACCAATAATCTAGTGGGGTTCTTCATGCTACTGCAGGATAGTTTATGATATTTTCTGGTGCTTTCTTGTACTCTGCGTTGGTCTCTTTGGGGTACTTCATGGTCCTTACAGGTGGTTAATTGCGCTTACTTCATGGTGGTCTGAGGAAGTTAACAGTACTTGTGGGTAATTGTAGTCTTTTGGGGTGTTTATGGGATCTCTTGGTCCTTGGGGGTAGTTCAGTTTACTTGGTAGTTATGGAAAATCTTTAATGTAACCTTTGTACTTCTTACTCTTTCTTTATCCAGGGTTTCCCCCAACGATTTATGGATGGAAACAAATGTTAGAAAACCAGTCCGACCTCCTAAACCTCTGATTTCAACTTCTTCATCAGTTCACCAAATAGACTAGGCTGTCTCTGTCTCCTTTACACACACTCTCTCTCTCTCTCTCAGCTGTCCAGAGCGAGATTAGCCATCTGACACCGCTGTTCCTCCCGTCAGAGGCAGAAATGTCCCTCTGGATTTAAACCCTCCTGCTCTAAAAATAATCTTATCAAAGCTCCGTCTACATGCAGTTACATCAACACCAAGATAAACAAAATGCAGTTAGAACAGCTCTGGCTGAAAATAAGATAAATGATG